GGTAACTCAATGATATCTAGTCTCACTGTAAGATTTTGCTAGTTAGGAGGCAACTTGGTTTATCACTTATAAATTGCACTCAAGAGGGATTTTCCCATACTAGTACTACATCAACTTGAGTCCTATTTGCACATGAATGCTTTCATAAGATTTAACAATAATCAATGATACAACTATAGTACCATTATAAATAATATAGACTGTGTTTTTATTAAATGAATGGTTTCCAGTTAAATTACACACATGAGCAATCATCAATATTAACACCTAAATGTTATTAGCTGTGCATCAAAATGTGTGATAAAGTAACACAATTATCAACTGGAAAGGAATTAATATAAGCTCTAAGCTTGTTTCCCATCTCGTTAACTTATCTGTATATGTCAAATTGCTGATTATTGAATAAAATATTGTTTAAACTAATTATCAACAGACAAATGGCAGAGCAATCCCCAAACAGCTAGTCTATGATGAAGTTGACAGGAAGGCTACATAACACTTAACTTGTGGGTCAATTATAATAGTATTGAATGTAATTCCTAATGGCCAGAAAGTAGATGCCTAAATCAAATTATTTCACCAGTGTTACCACATAAAGAATATGTCTTGATGGTACCGCAAGTGGTTATTTAACTTAATTTTGAAAATATATAGTTTTTTGCACTGACAACATCATATGGTAAGTAATTTCATAGGTTAATTACTCTGTTTGAAGAAACATTCCTGTAGGTATTGAGCTAAAGCCCTTATTTTTTTAAACAATTTCATCACATTATTTATTCCATTTACCTGTGTATTGCTGGTCTGTGAAACATCTGGGCTAAATCTATTTGATCAACTTATTCATTATCTGTTAGAGTTGAACCAGGTCAGGATGTTTGTGTCTGCTACCAATCTCTTTTTATAGGGTGAAATAGAGAGTGTTCACACATGTTTCATGGCCCTCCTTTAAACATTTTAGACAGTGTGTCTGTTTTTGTGTAAAGTGATGACCAGATTAACCAGGTAATAAACAGGTCTGGAATGCATTTGTGGGTGAAAACAGCCGATCGCCAGGAATCATCATCGAAGGCAAACATAATATCAGTGTAGGGATCCAACCTGAAAATTTTTGCTTATACACAAACAAGAGGCCCATAGGGCCTATATAGTTCACCTGGTTTAGTTTGCTGAAATAGATTAATTTAAACTGTAGGAAAATTATTTAAAGCACTTGTACTAATTTCCCTGTAAAAGGTTCACCCCTCTTCCAAATGGTGGAAAATGCATTGTTTGTACAAAACTAAGTTCGCTTCACCAAGGATGTCTTCATTTCCAAAACAATAAGGATTTTAATGAATTTGCTTTATTTTCAGTATTTGACCCCATCCCTCCTGCCCCATAGGGCTGGAACCCAAAGTTCACAAAAAATAACCTCCTTCATCAAAGCATATTTTACAGAATTTGCTCTGTTTCGCCTATTGGAACCCAACTCTTTATGTCTAGACCCACTGTTTATGCAGAATTGATTCAGACCAAAGTAAAGAAAAAATCCCAACATCCCTACAGGAGGAATAGGTTTTAAAAGAATTTGTTCTAAATCGACAATTGGATCCCATCTCTCCCACCTCAGGTGGCTGAGACCCACCGTTTACACAAACTTGGTTCCCCTTCGCCAAGGATGCTTCTGACCAGATTTGGTCAAAATCCAATCATTCCTACAGGAGAAGAGGAGTTTTACTCAGAATTTGCTCTATTTCCCCAAATGGGCCTCTTCCTTTCAAGGAAGCTAAGATCCTCTCCATCAAATGAAGTGCCAGGATGTTCTGGAAAACCGGTTAAGTGGAATAAGTGGTCAAAATCAAAGTAAAGAAAAAGAAAGTTTAACATTGTGATGGTTTATTTAGTAAGATGATCTAACATGTTTTATTTCTAATTCATATACTGAAGTTGTAAGCAACTCAAAAAGAAGTGCGTCAACAAAAACAAAAAAAAAAACTTGTGAATTGAAATAGCTTTAAAAGATATAAGCAACTTTCATTATACAAGATATGATCAGAACTTTGTGGTGTTTTGCCAAGAGTTCAGTCCATTATCTTGAAATTTATATTACTAAGGTTCAATGTTGAAGGGGATTGATATTTTCTACACAACTCAATGGAAATCCGCAGCATTTTGCGGAAATGTTCGTAAATTTTCTTTACCAAGACCTCCGTGGAAGTCCTACACTAATATACACAGCAATCTCTGAGGGAGTAATTTGTCTTTATGTAACCTCAGCATGGAATCTTTATCGAAATACTCGTTTGGGGAAAAGAAATGATAAATATCCAAGCATAAAGCACAAAATTTGGCTATTTTCCTATTGGCTCCCAACCCTCTGTCCTTGGGGGAGTAGGATTTTAAAAACTTGCTCCTGACACAATACACGCACATTTTACTCGGTTCAAACGCGGTCGGCAAACAACACAAATTAATGAATATAAAATAAAACTAATTTTATCAGCAATTTTATCCCTGCTACAGATAGTATAAGTGGTGGAAATGAAACTGGTTTGAAAGAATGTAAGATACCGCATAGAAACCATTTTTCTACAGAGTAGCATAACCTTGACCTTTGACTTTAGGTCTTGAAAGGCAATAGCAAGCTAGTGATAATTGTCTGTGATGAGTGCTTGAGTGAGATCTGATTCACATCAATTAAGCCTCACACATTTTGGTCCTGGTAGAATGGTAATATTGTAAAATGCAGTCGTGACACCTACAATATTGAATATATCCTTGTCTTAGCTACTGACTACAGCTCATTGAACACTGAGGAGTTTCAAACAAAGTTCCGAGGATGTTATAAACTCAGAAAAGTCCCATAGCCACTGCATCACTTCTTATAGGAAAAACTCATCTCTTGTATAAGTGAGTTGATATGTATTTATTGACAAGTACACGGCGATACTTTTCCAAACACTCAAGCCCTCATTCCCACAAGCAACCGACGTTCCCTGAGTGACAACAATTATAATTTACTTTAAACCTAAATTCCCTCACTGTGAAATTCCTAAAACAACGAAGTATGCGTACATACGTTCATTTCTTATTGGAATGGTTCTGCATAAACATGTATACTTTTATTTAAACAAAAAACAAAAACTTCATTTAAGAAACACATGTGACCTCTGGTCTACCCTTACTGAATGACAGACGTTCTACCTAACAACGAAAATTATACGGGTTTCTCAGCAACGACTGTCAGTTCTCTGACGACGTAAATTGTACCTGTAAGAATATATACTGTGTGTGCACTACGCTGAAAAGCACGATAATGAGAGTTGAATATTGTTGACATGTAGTTAAAAATGACAGTTTTAGTAACGCTTTATTGGAACGGGTATGCGTTTATCATGAAATTAAATTGGTACATTAAGATTAACGAGAAAACTTATTCATTGTTTTTAAAACAAAAATGGATAGTTTGTACCGTTACAGTTACTATTGTTTTTCTCCATAGGTAAACCTAATTGTATGTATAAATTTGTCGCTCTTCAATAACTATTCTTTATGATTAATAAAACATCATTTATAAGTAAATCTGAATGAAAAATATATACATTTCAGATTCCTTCGACATGATAACTTTAATTTGAACTGGAAAGGTTTTCTTTACACGGAGTTTCGCTATATCAGAGACGTATATAACACTGTTATGTGTTATATACGTCTCTGGCTATATAGAACAGGTTATCGACACGTCCCCTAAACAGTTCCAGTTGAGGAACAATTCTGAAACAGAGGACGTCACAATTTGTGTCTCTGAATAAATGTAGAAGTATTCAGAAGATTTACGGAGGTCATGGCGTTGCAATAGCCATGAAACTTCATAAGACTTTCCGAAATATCCTAGTCCATCCTAAGGATAAAACACCCAAATAGCATGTCGCAGAATGCGTATATAAAACCAGGTGCAAGACTCCGACTTAATGAACATCAGAATGACGCGGAATCCAAAGAAGGAAAAAATCCACTAGATCAGAGCGAAAACCTTCTCAGTTCCTAATCAATGAATTGGCACTTACAGATCACTCTACGCAGCAAAATCAAATCATGGACTAGGAAAATTCCAGCACATAGACGATCAAGTGTTAAAAACGTAGCCGAATTGACTACAGTACATTGTTACCATCTCATCACACATTTTCGACCTTAGTGTACTACAACCGCAAAAGTTGGTCAATTTCCTGCCATCTCGTAGACGACGATACGTCATTTGTCTGATCAAGGTGACCCTGTAGTCATAGAAACGTCACGCACAAATCTTCTATTGGTTGCGTTATAAGAACTTCTGTTTTATTGACATAACAACCTGAAAGTAAATGTTCTGAAAAGTCTACAAGTACTTGTAGTATTATAATTAGTTGTCATCTGACGATCACGTCAACATTTTACGTCTTGTCACATATTCCATACTGTAACATTATGAAATGACAGAACAACCGATCGTATACTCCTTTTTCCTTTTCTCTCTGTGTTGTGATTTTGCCGCCAGATAATAATAACCGATGATAGTCATAACGGACATATAGTCGGATGACGAGTTACGACATAAGCATTTCTTAATTGTTTCAACCAAGTTGGACTCATAATTGATAAAGCGTCAGTTGAAATGTCCATTCCATGATTTTCTCTTTATCTAAGCTTTGAAAGGAATATTGTTTCGTTTCCTGTTACCTTTTACCTGTCGGTGAGGGCGAGATTTCATGCTTTTATGAAAGAAATTAAAAGAAAAAAAACGACGAATCACAAAGCTGCATATTGCGTAAAAAAGGCGAAAAATTAACTTTACGACGTTACACTTTATATATCAATTTGATTAGATTTAGATCCAGGATTTACGACCTCAAGTTCACGAACGGAAAGTACAACGTGTTTGTTCCGGTTATAGTACGTTTCTTTTGTTATAATATGACATCGGCCGGAACACACTGGTTACTATTAGTCTAGCGAAGTAGATACCAAAGAAGTTCCGAACATCAATGGACAGAATTGTAACGAAGAAAGGTGGCCTCTTTAAAGATAATTTGAACATTCAGGTAATGAAACAACAACTAATTAAGTCACTTGGATACAGTGACATATCTACAAAATGTCGCAAATGACTAACATCGTGAAGATCACTATACATTAATTCGCACGTGTAGCCACGACAGTAAGTAAATAGGATCACAGGTGCCTGTTGCATTGCATTGCAGTGCAGTTCCTATACATAGGAAAGGATGTTTTTACTTTTATTTGTTATGAATAAAATGTCGAACATATTAGATGCCCATATAAGAAGATACATCATGACCTGTCTCCATTTTTTAATCTTAAATATCTTTAACGAGGTTTTGAAAAGGAGCATATCGCAAGTCCCTGTGTTTATATCGTTTTATTGTGAAAGGGAACTTTGGGTGGTGAATAAAATAAATATCCACGAAAATTTAATTGGGTTAAATAGAGTCTTTTTTTATCTAATAAATTGGGGAAAATGTAATTATCCAAAATAGATGTGCTGAATTACAAACATCTCACCACTTCGAAGAAAAAAACAGTTTCAGTTTCTAAAACAAGAACAGATTATGACCCTGTATAGGTTTGAGTATATGACTAATTAAGCTCGAATCAAATATCATTGCATGAAATTATTTCTGATATATTGCATTTAAACTTTCAGAATCCAATTCAAACTTTATGAGATCCATTGACTGAAGTGAAGAGATCTTAATTTCCGATAGAATGGCTGACAAAATGGTAAAGTATATACGTCACCAAAGAAAGCTGTCATGGACAGATAGACTGTAAAGTTTTTAGCTTACCTGGCAAAGGGCAAGTGAGCTTATGCTATATGCATCCATTATCTGTCCATCATCTGTCCCACATCACAAGAGGCCCAGGATGAAGGGCTACAAAGTGTGTTCAATAGAATGGCTGACTAAATGGTAGAGTATATAAAACCAAAGAAAGCTGCCATGTACAGATATACTGTCAATTTTCTAGCTTACCTGGCAAAGGGCAAGTGAGCTTATGCTATATGCATCCATTGTCTGTCTATTGTCTGTCCATCATTTGTCCCACATCACAAGAGGCCCAGGATGAAGGACGACATACTGCGTTAAACTTAATTATCTTAAAACTTTAAAGGGTACAAGGGTCAAAAATGTTAAAATATTCTACACAGTTAATCAGTAACCAAGAGACCCAGTGTACTGATATTTGTCCTGGTGGATGTTACAATTGGAATATATGGCTAGTACGAGTGTTCCATTGTCAATGAACTTGATCGACATTTTAAGCTAAAGGGGTCAAATTTTTCAAACTTCTCTTAAACTTAACCAATAGATATAGTTAAGTATGGACTCATCTGAGAAGTAAAAAAATCCAACATTAAACTTTTTTTCAAATGATGACTTTTTGAAAGGTTTGATTTTAGAAAGTAGATTGAAAGCAAAAAATCAATATGTTACTGCACTCTTTTTCTTGTACCAGCTTCAGAATATGTGCAACTGTAAATAATTCATTTTCAAATATTATGTTTTTTTTTTCTGTATAACAGACTGTTTCTGTTATTTTCGTGGCAACCTTTATTAAATAAAATTTTAGTCTTTCATTATAAGGTAAGAATATGATACTTAGATATTAAGGTAAAAGATAATGTGAAAAAGTTTGATTTAATGTTTAAATTATTGATGATATTAACTGATCCACGCTGTCATCTATACAGTCAGAAAAAGGAGGTCTAATAGTGAAATTTCTTTAAAATATCACAAAAATGATCCTTTTTAAGTTTATAAGTATAACTCTGGATAACAAAATGTACAAGACTACAACAGTCCCAAGATATTCTGTTGGAATTCATTTCATATAAATTGTGACTTACTGGCAGTCAAACGTCGAAGGAGTACGTCCTTAAGTGGTATTGGACCTGTAGCATACTTACATGAAGGGCTAGCAATCTTAACTTTGACCTATAGTGGTGATCACAGAGGTTAGACGATCAAACATCATCTACATACCAAAAAACACATGGAAATATGGTAATTGCCTTCCTAATAGTGTTTGCAAAATATAATTTTAACTTTCAAATACACCATTTTTAATTAATTGGCCTGTGACTAGTTTTGCTGGTCTCGATTGTAAAATGTGTTTGAAAGCATCTTTGAGCGACACGTTAATGATGCAGGTCTCGGGGGCTTCATTTGTTGTAAGACATCTATAGAATAGTCACTGTCTAACATCATCGCTTGGTGTTTTGATTATTCAGATTCTATTTTTCTATATTTTATTATAGGGTTGAAGGCCTTTATTTTATAAAAACTGACATTCATTTCATCATACTTTTTGTCGAACACATTGACTGATTGGTCTTCCATTTGGCACTGACATTTTTCACTTATTCTTTAATGATCAAGAAGTAGAACGTCATATCAGTCAACCAATTTGCGCTGTGCACCAGGATCAACAGCTGTAAAATTAATTCAAACAAGATAACGCAAAGCATGACAATAACTCCGCTCACGCTGTTTTAAAGAAAGACATACAATCACATTTATATGTTTTATTACAAAAACTTTAATTTCTGTTTGTTACTTTTAATTGTTCCATACAAAGTATTGAAATGGAGAACTTCTACTAGAGTACTAGCTTGATGTCTGTACAGAGTTTTGAATATCTGGTAATTACCTTGAATGGTTTAAGAGAACTGGTCCGAAAAAACTTAATTTTGTAATTTGCATTTCTGTTCCAATGGTAATAGAAAAGTATTTCAATGGAGAACTTTTCCATAGCAACTTCTAGCTAAAGATGTGTAAAACATTTTGAAAGGTTTCAGAGCACTGGTCCAGAAAAACAGAAATTTGTGGTGAGGATTATCTGTTTCCATGGTAACAGAAAAAAATGAACTTAGGCGCTAACCTAATATATAAAGAAAGTTTTATGGATTTGAGTGGAATGGTTTCGAAGTTGTAGCCCAGAAAGGAAAGTTAACACTAATTTTGTGTTTTTTTACTACCGGGTATGTTTCCATGGTAACAGAAACAAATATAAGAAATGAAACATCATGACTAGCAAAAGGCCCAACTAGGGCACTAACCTAATATATACAGCAAGTTTTGTGGAGTTGAGTTGAATGCTTTTGAAGTTATAGCATAGAAAAGCCCTTTGATGGATGGACGAAATCCAACTTAATATCCACTGCAAATGTGTTTTGCAGGGGTATACAAATAACATTGATTATCATGACATTGAGTCTGGTTTTTCCTCTTTGAGTAATTTTCAGATTTTAGACTGCTGGAACCGTGAGGAGATTCAAAATTGAATTATGAAATTTGATAAATCTAACCAGGGACGTATAATATATGTATTATACATCCCTGATCTAACCCTTCAGGCAGTAGACTTCTTGCTAAATATAATTCTAGACTCTTTCTTGGTTGTGAAGAAGCCATTTTCTGATGTTAGTTGATCACAGGCAGAACGTAAGTTCTCTTTGTCTGCACGTGCCTTTGAAGCCTATGGATCAAAAGCAACATTGATATGCACACTGTTAGGAGGTGTAATCAAATTTTTAGTTGTTGTTTCGTTGATATAGAAAATATGTAAGGTCAGAATTGTTTTGTATACTAAAATATCAGGGTTGATAAAGAGACTTGTATTGTGAAGGTGATGAAAGATTCTGCCTAAAAATAAAAAATGACAACGAGAAACCGTATCAAAATTTTATTACTACAGAAAATGAACAGATATGGACAGGTTAATATAAATTAGATAGATGAATTCAACTGGTATGTATATGAAGATAAGAAATTTATCTGATTTTCAAAACAAAAACTAATCAACAACATCCACTTCGACTAGCACAGAAAACGTAAATGACTCTAGTTTCAAACAGGTATATGCAATTAATTTAATCCACTCTCTTGTATACAAAGTAAAAAGAAAAGGCTAAGTTCTGTCAAATGTAAAATCAGTCCGAGTATAGATTTTACGGGATTAAATCCAATGTTTTACGGTGAGCATGCTGACCAGGATGTTTTATGATCACATAATTATAGTGATTAAACTAAGAAGCGTTTGAATTTTCCTCATTCTCCAATTTATTTGAGCTTTTGCTGTCTTTAATGAATGCTGAGATCATTCCCTCTAATATATTCAGAGGAACGGGTCCACACTGTAACACAGCATCGTGGAATTCACAAATATCAAAAGCGTCACCTGAAAATGATAAATATTATCATTATAATTTGAAATCAATTCCAATATTTCGATTTTTGAAAATTATGTAGTGCTAACAAAGATGAAAAATACTTCACCTGATTAATTAAGTACATCTAGGTCAATTGAATGATTTAAAACACTGAATTTATATATATATTGTATATCTTAATATCAACACAATATAAAATCCCACTTCATAATGGTTATATGGAATCTTTACAAGATGTCACTTTGTGGTCCAGAATACATACCTAGTTCCTTTTCTGCTCTCTGTCTTAGTTCTTTTATCTTCAGTTCTCCTATCTTGTATGCACATGCCTAGATAAAGCAAACAGACAAGTCTTGTGTGTTGAATTGAAGAATCAAAATGTCATAGCTTTCAGTTTCTGTAAGAATGTACATCATATATGGTAAAGTATGACAAGAATCATTATTTTAAAATATTACCAGGAGGAGGGGGTGCTACAGTACACAGTAATATTGTAGTGTAGTTTCTATAAAATATAATTCATCTAATGCATCATACAAATATCCATTAGTCTAAGATTAGAAGTACAAAACCTACCTGTCCTGGCCAAGTAATGTAGCGTTTGGTCTCGCTGTCAGCAAACCATTCATGCATGAATGCCCTCTCAGTCAAGTATTTTTTGGTACTCTCGAAAGTCCACCTTCAACAAAGAAAGGTTCAAATTTAGATTAGAAAGTGCCATGTCATGATTATGAAAAAAGTGAAGGCTTTTACTCCATGTGTTCCTTTCTCATAAATACACAGTATAGGCTGTTACATGTGCATATCTAAATCCTATAATTGTCTATAATTGCCACCTGTTGACAATTATGATTATTTATATCTTTCACTATCATTTCTATCTAAAATGCCCACCTGGACCTATTAAAAAATTCCTTTTTCACTTGCCTTTTGTCTACCACCTGTCTATAGCGACCACTATTTTTGTAAAATTTATTACCATACACCTGTCGATAATGATTAACCTTATGACTTGTCAGGTGTCTATCATGACTTTTTGTCTATTAGTCAGGTGTCTATTATGACTTTTTGTCTATTAGTCAGGTGTCTATCATGACGTTTTGTCTATTAGTCAGGTGTCTATCATGACGTTTTGTCTATTAGTCAGGTGTGTATCATGACTTTTTGTCTATTAGTCAGGTGTGTATCATGACTTTTTGTCTATTAGTCAGGTGTGTATCATGACGTTTTGTCTATTAGTCAGGTGTCTATCATGACTTTTTGTCTATTAGTCAGGTGTCTATCATGACTTTTTGTCTATTAGTCAGGTGTCTATCATGACTTTTGTCTATTAGTCAGGTGTCTATCATGACTTTTTGTCTATTAGTCAGGTTTCTATCATGACGTTTTGTCTATTAGTCAGGTGTCTATCATGACGTTTTGTCTATTAGTCAGGTGTCTATTATGACGTTTTGTCTATTAGTCAGGTGTCTATCATGACTTTTTGTCTATTAGTCAGGTGTCTATCATGACTTTTTGTCTATTATGACCACTTACTTCCCACAGACATCTATTGTTAGAAGTGTAACAAGAGGTAAGTCTAGGTGTTATGGTAAAAAAAATACCAGCTGCATTATACCATTGATAGGCTTGCAAAGTTTATTCTTCAGCTTGATTGGTTGAGTGTAAGACTGGTAAACCAGAGGTCCAGTGTTTGATCCTTGTGGAAGTATTGAAGTAAGGATTTGATATATTTTTGTTATTGTTAACCAGACTTACCCAAACGCGTGTAGACCAGTGTCTACCACCAAACGAGCCGCTCGCAGGATTTCAAACATATATCTGCCAAACCTATAAACAAACAGATAAACAGCCATCAAACAAGGGTGATCACTACAATGTACATAGTCAAGAGAAAAATTTTCCTTGAAAGTATGATTACGATACTATGTTGTTAATATACTGTAAATCAGATGAGGGAAGATAACTTACACACAGACAGAATGATTTTAGGTATTTTATTATCGATAATGATAATCTAATCAGGAGTAGAACATGATGCTTGTCTTAAACACTTTTTAATAACGCATTATCCATTGAAAACATGATTTAAAGACAGCAGTATATTTGATGTAAAGCAGCCATTTTTTTTCACGGAAGTTGTGAAAATTAATGAAATATGGTTTTCTCTTTTAATTTCATTTTTAGGGCATTATTTTGCAAAGACAAAACAGAATCTTTAATTAACAAATGTATTGTTTAGGTTGCATGACTACTTACAGTTCATGATTTGTACTGTATAGTCCAAGTTCTTCTCCCAGTGACTCACAGTAAAGACCCCAGCCCTGTGGATCAACATTACTAGTATGTACAAGTCTGTCTGATACAACAGCCCTATAGATCAACATTACTAGTATGTACAAGTCTCTCTGATACAACAGCCCTATAGATCAACATTACTAGTATGTACAAGTCTCTCTGATACAACAGCCCTATAGATCAACATTACTAGTATGTACAAGTCTCTCTGATACAACAGTCCTATAGATCAACATTACTAGTATGTACAAGTCTGTCTGATACAACAGCCCTATAGATCAACATTACTAGTATGTACAAGTCTCTCTGATACAACAGTCCTATAGATCAACATTACTAGTATGTACAAGTCTCTCTGATACAACAGCCCTATAGATCAACATTACTAGTATGTACAAGTCTCTCTGATACAACAGCCCTATAGATCAACATTACTAGTATGTACAAGTCTCTCTGATACAACAGCCCTATAGATCAACATTACTAGTATGTACAAGTCTCTCTGATACAACAGCCCTATAGATCAACATTACTAGTATGTACAAGTCTCTCTGATACAACATTACTAGTATGTACAAGTCTCTCTGATACAACAGCCCTATAGATCAACATTACTAGTATGTACAAGTCTCTCTGATACAACAGCCTCTCTGATACAACATTACTAGTATGTACAAGTCTCTCTGATACAACAGCCCTATAGATCAACATTACTAGTATGTACAAGTCTCTCTGATACAACAGCCCTATAGATCAACATTACTAGTATGTACAAGTCTCTCTGATACAACAGCCCTATAGATCAACATTACTAGTATGAACAAGTCCCTCTGATACAACATTCCTGTTCATCAACATTACTACATGGCATATCTTTCGATATAAAGATTTGATAAATTTGTTGTGCAGCGATAACTGGATTACACTGCAAGTCACTGTATTTATTAGAGCACTATTGAATACCTCGTTACAGATTTTTCTATATCCCTCTCACAAATTTGTGTTCCTTTATGTTGATTAAGAGGGTAGAGTCATCTCAGCTTTATTGCAATATGTTTTCCAAAACACTATTCAGTCAATTATATAAGCGATAATTATCATATTTTTTTCAAAGTGACTGTGAGACAAGTTATTTCAACATGAATCTCCCACTGGAAGAGTGTAAGGGGTCTAACCATCGGAGGAAAACCAACTTAGTTGGTAAGGATGTTATATGGCTGTTATAGTTAGGGCTGGATAGCAGGATGTAATAGTTGTGACTGGGTAATAGAAGCCCTGGAATCATCCTGAGTGGATAGTTGGGTCACTGGAGCAGTTGTGACTGAATAATGGGACACCAGGGATAGTTGTGATTGGATAGTGGGAAACTTGGAAGAGTTGTGATTGGATAGTGGGAAACTTGGAAGAGTTGTGACTGGAAAATGGATATCTGGAAAAGTTATTGACGGAAAGAGGGATATTATACCAAAGATATAAGATGATGGAGACAGAAGTACAATTTTTCTAGAATTGACAACAGTTGTGACTGGAAAATGGATATCTGGAAAAGTTATTGACGGAAAGAGGGATATTATACCAAAGATATAAGATGATGGAGACAGAAGTACAATTTTTCTAGAATTGACCTCACTTTCTGAACTTAATATTTATATACAGTAAAACCTCGATCTATCGCCATCCGTTAAACCGCCACCCTCGCCTATCGCCATGTTTGTTCATGGAACAGATTTCCCCCCTATTAAACACCCTCGTTTAACCGCCAAACTCGCAACTAAAATGTACTACCAATGGCCTCAGTGGAGACAAAGATTTCTATAGACTACTAACCTCAATGTAAGCTGTCTGTAAGGAGAATCTAGTGGGGGCTCTGGAATATTTCATATCCTCAATGTATTGGCGAAATATTGGTACTCCCTTCTGCTGTATGGCATACATACTCTGTAAGGCAAAAGATTTCATACATAACACTAAACTGTGTAACAATATACAGAAAATGAGTTCCCCATACATAACACTAAACTGTATAACAATATACAGAAAATGAGGTCCCCATACATAATACTTATCTGTATAACATTATATGGAAACTGATTCCTCAAACATGAGGCCCCAATACATAGTATTAATCTGTAAAATTTTATACAGAAACTGATTCCCTAAACATGAGGCCCCAATACATAGTATTAATCTGTAAAACTTTATACAGAAACTGATTCCCTAAACATGAGGCCCCAATACATAGTATTAATCTGTAAAACTTTATATAGAAACAGATTCCTCAAACATGAGGTCCCAACACATAATACTAATCTGTATAACATTATATAGAAACAGATTCCTCAAACATGAGGCCCCAATACATAGTATTAATCTGTAAAATTTTATACAGAAACTGATTCCCTAAACATGAGGCCCCAATACATAGTATTAATCTGTAAAACTTTATATAGAAACAGATTCCTCAAACATGAGGCCCCAATACATAGTATTAATCTGTAAAATTTTATACAGAAACTGATTCCCTAAACATGAGGCCCCAACACATAATACTAATCTGTATAACATTATTTAGAAACATGATACCAAATTGTTTAACAAATGTTGAGACTAAGGACATTTGAAATTATAATCTCCCAATTTCATTCAAACACTTAGAAATATTTTTTTTATATATTAATTGATTTATATATGATTATTATTAAAATTATTTTCAACTTGTACTGTTGTAATTAAAAAAGTACTGGCAGAACTAGTTAACACATTAAAAAAAACACAATCAAATATTTGACAACTGTACCTTGAGAATGATAACCAAACTGAATTACCATAATATCATCCTTACCTGTAGGTGGTGACCTGGCTCACCTTCATGGAGACTTAAGGCCATCAACTCATACATTGGTCTGAAAGTGAACAAAAATATTACATGTTTATCATGATGCATCAAAAAAAGAACAACGCATTTTTAAAACTGGGAAGCATTCGTTTAATTTTCTAAAATGCCTCATATATGTTTAACATTTCTTTTTTTTTCTCTGATAGGTAACAATAATATTTCTATGGTTAATTTCCAAATTAGGTACTAAATACTTACCTGCACCTTTTCAACTAAACATGTTCAGCAACCATTTGACACCTAGTTTACCTGATGTTCCCAGAACGGGTCATCCTCAAATACCCCATGGGTTACACTCACTATCTGAATCTCAGGAACATTTCATGGCAAAACTGAAGGTTCCAAGTGAGACACCTCAAGGATACGATGAGAATACTAGTTTTATTCTTTGATGTTCATCAAATGAATATCAAGTTCACATAACAGTATGATGTACTGGTTTTGAAATCGTATGGAGCGTAGGAGTCTGTGATAAGGGAGCAAAAGTGATTGTAATTCCTGGGGTGTCGAGGATAAAGATAGGTAAACATCAGATATATTTCATTTACCTGTATCAGATAAACATCATTAACACCTGAAACTGTATTTGATATACACTTACATGTCTGTGGTATGAGAAGTGTTCACATAGTAAATTCCGGGTCTAGATCCATCCATTGTGCCTGCCATGTAATATGCTGCAGGTGCTGAGCTCATAGAGGCAGGCGATGCTTTAATCCTGATCAAAATATATATATAAAATATACACATTCATAATACAAGAACTCTATACAGTATTTATAAAACAAAAATGCCTCAGCAGAGGTAATTTTCATAGGATTTTTTCATACTATTCGAAACCCTTTTTTCAAAATTTTGAGGAGTCCCATTACTAAGTGGTATAAGGGGGTTCTCAAAAAGTCCCAACAGGAAAATCATGGGTCTAGAACTCAAATACCGGAGTCCCAAATGGCCCCACTGGCTCAACATTAAGTACAGAGCTTTTTAGTATAATGACTATCAATATACATGCTCGTAACTTTACAGAATGTGCAGTATTGTTTGATCAAATCCGACATCCAAAGTTAATTAATCGCCAAGAATGGGCATACTTTCTTGGAATTTTCTAAATTCAAGAGCCATAACTTTTGAAATAGCCAGATAACATTACACATGCAACTGCCATTAGCAATGAGTGTAGAAGTGTTGATATAGATAAGTTGATATAGATAAGTTGTTTTACTCCACCAGTCTCATCTGTTTATTATAACCAATATATGAAATTGTATGTAAATACAGTTTGTGTAGTGGTGATAATGACCATTTGGGTCAGATACCCTAAATATAGAATCTGCTATAGGTATGGTATAACTCAAATTAAGCTAGTAGAATGTATGATAAAAATTTGTATATGAAATTCCAGATCTATCTTCAGAATCTTAAGAAAAAGAGCATTCATTATAATCAAAAGGTCAAAGGTCACATTTGAAAACTTCTGCAAATCATCATACATTGATACTTCACCATGGAAATGATAAAAAGGACCATTAACAAATATGACTTTGGCCTTTTCATTATACAGTTACATACCAAATTAGAGTTTTATTATTATTTTTAAATTAAATTAAATTAAATAAATTAAAATATCTCTCTCTGTTAAAGATCAAATAAGCAGACAGAAAATAAAGATAGAATGATGGTCAAGAGCAACAATATATGTACCGACACAGATTGTGGTAGAGGAGTAAATTAACACTTCAGTCTATGAAGTGTAACAATTCCTGCATTAAGTAGATATATTGATAAATTGTTATAGCCTGTAGTAATCCTCTTTGATGAATTTGTAATGTGTACTTTTAATGATTACCTTAGCTTGGTATCATTATCTTATTTACTAAAAATTGATGACATTGGAATCCTATTGAGGCAACATATTGTAAAAACCTGTTTAATATGTGTGGTTAAATTTTACTTACGTCATATCTACATCTGGGATAGTCTTGAACATCTTTGAGAGTTTAGGTCGGATTCTATTCGTACAGATGTCTTTAATTCCTGATAAAATTTCTTCCTGGAATTAAGAGAATTCCTATTATAAACCACAATTTTAACTATCATCAATCAAGAAATCCACAACAATATATCAAATTTACTGAATTTAAAGGAAGTCCATTCAAATGACAGATCTACAATACATTTTGTCTTTGTGCATTCTAAAACATTGGATTTGGAATGTAGCCCTTTATTAATTGATCATTTGGTTTTTAATCTGGTTTGATGACTACCATTAATACTATATATTATCTCGATGATTTTTGGTGTCCATATATCCAAGTCCTGGACTCGTGCTTTTCCTGTGAGACTCAATCAAACTGTAAGAAACCACTAGTAATGGGACTCACCAAAATTTTTAAAAATGATGTTCTAGACTTTAAAAAAAAAAATTCTACAAGAATAAATGGGTTTGTAGAGTAATGGGTGCAATTTAGGTTGTGTCTCTTTATAACAGCAAAACAATAAATGCAGCACAAGTAAATCAAATTTGACAAAGTCTGATTACATTACAAAATATAAATAACTTCGGTTAACACATTTTATTTCAGAATGTTTAGAAAGATAATTATCAGCAAAGCAGAAATTACCTCAGTTTCGTAGAAGAACTCCTTGCTGTTTTTAATATGTCTTATGAAGCGCTGAACATTTGAACCAAACCCTTCTTCCATTGAGATTTTCTGCATGGCTTTTGAAATTCTATCAACCTCCTGTAGACCAAGATTGTGAACCTCCTGTGGTGTAAGATCTGTTGATGTGTGGAACTTTAGACACTGTTGGTAATATCTTTGACCGTTCGGGAGAGTACAACACCCAATAGAGGGCCTCGTCCTCCTCATATATACCTGTATTACAGAAATAGGAAATATATCTGAAAGGGCCTTGTCCTACTTATACATACTTGTATTACAGAAACAGGAAATATATCTGAGAGGGCCTTGTCCTCTTCATATATACCTGTATTACAGAAATAGGAAATATATCTGAAAGGGCCTTGTCCTACTTATACATACTTGTATTACAGAAACAGGAAATATATCTGAAAGGGCCTTGTCCTACTTATACATACTTGTATTATAGAAATAGGAAATATATCTGAGGGGGTCTTATCTTTGTCTTATAGATCTGTAAGTATTGAAATAGGAAATGTATCAATCTTCAACATAGGGTCTCATTCTTCTCATATATACATGTACTGCAGGTACTGAAATATCTGACCTTGATACAAAGTCTCGACCTCTTGATATATACCTTTTAGTACTTAAATCGGAAATGTATCTGACCCTGATATGGGGTCTTCTCCTCCTGACATATACGTACGGTACAGAAATAAGAACTATATCTGAGAGGGTGTCGTCCTCCTCGTGTATACCTGTAGGTACAGAGTACTTACAGATGTTAAGTAGTCGCGTAGGTCAGTAAAAGCAGGCAGAACACTATCCTCTAGTACAGTGATTGCTTCCTTCTCCAGCTCAGTCCTGAAATGTTTAATTAGTACATTCATTATATTCTCTAAACTGATGACTGTTTTTCAATTTTATCAAAAACTTTTTAGGTTATGTTTTTAGCATGATCTGGAATATGAAGAAATGATTGTTTCTGACTTTTCACTGGAGATTGATCAGCTATCTGGTATATTATGTGCTTTGTGTTTGTTCTTACATTTCCTCGGGGGAAATACCATCCACTTCCTTTCTAAATGGTGACAAGAAGGGTGATGTTTTAGGATCCAACTTTCCATTGTTGGTTAGGGAATTTATCTGGTCAGGCACTTCTCTCTGGAAAAAACAATCAAATCTGAATATTCTTATCTTTGTTAAAAAATTCTAATCTTGTCAGTTGACGGTTATATCATTTAATGTAGACAACCCTACAAACTGGTGGTCTCAGACATTATAACATCAAATTAATGTAACAGAACTCACTCCGTATGTAGTGTGTCGTGAACCAGTTACTTGTAAAATGATGTTGGACTTGTAAGTATTAAAAGACCTAAACTAACACAAGACATTTCATTGTTTAGTGACACAAGCAAATTAATACTAGACATTGTTTTTGTTTAGAGACTTGTACAAATTAATACCAATATTGTCATTATGTAGTGACCTAAGCAAACTTACACCAGACTCTCTCAGTGTTAAGGTAGCTGGACAAATTTACATGACCGTGTTTAGTGAGCTACAGAAACTTGCATTAGACAAAGTCATTGTGTAGTGAGCTAGACAAGCTAACACATTGTGTCCACTTTTAATGAACAATTGCAACCTTAAATAAGACACTCAAACTTAGAGACAAGCTTACATCATAAAGAATGTACTTTGTTAGTATTTAATGAGCTAGGCAAATTTACACCAGACTTTGTGTCTATATTTATTGAGCTAGAAAAACCATATATCAGGCATTTGTTAGTGTTAAGTGAGCTTGTGTCGGTGTTCAGTGAGCTTGCCATAAGTTGTTGTTTTGTGTCAGATAATCAAATAATAGTTACCATTGACACCATGTGATTGACATAACCTGTCTTTATTCCCTCTTCACACATCTCTCTGACCTGGGAAATCTGAAATATCAAATCACAATGATTAATCAGTGAAAACACAGCATTACAGATATCATCATGATAATTCTATTACATATTGATATATAACCTTTTTATATAAGATGTTGAAAACTTGCTTACAAGTAACCCTATGTAATTGTTTTGTTGTTTGTCAAAATGTAAAACTAATTGAATAAATTCCCAATGAGTGGAATGATAGCAAACAAGATTGCTACATTCCCATATTTTAAAAGTTTACAATATTTCATTTAATATCACAATCGCTTGAAACATAGTGCAAAAGATCATGATATAAAAAGGTTTATATAAAATAGTATACAGGTCATTAAGGAAAGGTCAATGACTACTGAGGTCATTTGGATACGGCAGTTACATGTAGTACAGAGGTCATTTGTCTTTAAAAATTTATATTGCAAGATTACACTATGTGCTAACAATTAACTCACCTGTCTTGGGTAACACTTCAGACGTTCTATGTAGACTTTGTAGTCAGATTCTTTCTCAAATTTCGAAAAGCTCAATAGCAGATGTATATCATTGTGAACTCCATCTTGGAATGTGATAGGGAAACACCACCTAGATAAGTTCACAAACAAATATAAAACACCAGTTATTTTTAATGTTTTATGACATTTCTTACAAAAGAAGAAAAGTTTAATTAATAAAAATTGCCCTTATCATTGATTCCTATGAAATTGTAAGACAAAAATATAAATCTCTGAGGTACCTTGTGGAAATTTTTTATTATTCCTTATGACAGTTACCCTTTAAATTTGCAGGCTGATAGGAAGGTGTTGAATTCCTCCTGAAGCAATGCCAGGTCCAGTTTAGCTGCTTCACTAATAGTTTCAGTGTTTATCTCCTTGCATCTCTCAAGGAACTCTTCAACTGTTGTCTGTTGGAGACAAACCACCATGATTAACTCTGATGTGATTTTTAAAAAATCAGTAGAAGACATATTTACCCAAGTTGAGTACAATAATTTGACGTGGATGACCGAAAGTTTTATCAACAAGATGAACCAATGTGCAGTTATTTTGAGATGTTGTTTTAGAGGTCTGGCTTAAGGTGCCTTCACCAAAGGAGTCAAAATAATATGTGTTGCTTTTGAAATAATAGTTTGTTTAATTAAGAAACAGCTACATGGACACTATACCATTAACTTCTGGCTTATTTATCTCTAAAATTCTTCTTTTTCCAGACAAACAGTTAAAACATTTTCATTTAATTGAAAAACATTTGGATATTTTCAGTAAGAACAAATTGATTGTTCATGAGGTCACAAATTTACACCTAACAGATTGGATATATTTTCATGCAGTTTCTAGTAACACAAAAAAAAAGAAAAAGATTAAAATCATCCTGCACTTGTCTAGTTGGTTTCAATAGAATAATTATACAGAGAAATAAGATGGGACAACCAGGCTGGGAAATCTGAATTCTAGATAGATGCTCAGTACCTTTAACTGTCATTGACTCCAGTTTTGCTAATTACCACAGTTAGATAGATTTCCATCTTACCAGAATCGGGGGAAAAAAGACAAAAACATTTCCTTTGTGGTGGTTTTACCACAGACAACTGCAGCAACAACTGAAGGAACATGGAATGGAAAGTTACAAATACCTTCCATTCTTTGAATGACTCCAGTCCAATATCATCTAATTTGTCATCGTCAACATGGACTCCACAATAAGAGGCAAACTCTGGGCTTGTCTTTAATCTCCAGCTCCATACTTCTTCAAACAGCCTGATCACTACTTTGTCTTCTGGGCGAGGTCTAAGTTTGGAAAATGTTTTGATTAATTTCTAATATGCTAATCATAGGTAATGAAAATATCTTTTTGAGGCACACAGGCATACTAGAATATGTGTGTATAGAATTCTAATTAGACTATTAAGTATGCCAGTTCAGTCTGAGACCCTGCACACAAAAGCTGGTATTAACATGAAATGATGCAGTGTTGAGCACCAGGTTTCTGACCAAAATATGAAGACAGACCTCTAGTGTTAGTGTCATGATCAAGAATGTGATGTTTACTTTGAAACAGGAGGAAAGAGATGTGACTAACAACCTTGCTTACACACAATGTCTGATTGGACAATTCTCCTCCAGACACTTCATCTATTACTTCACTTGCATCTTCCAAATTTAGCCAAGTCCAAAAATTATTTGTATCTTCTGTTCCATTTCTAGCTCTCACTATATGACATTGTCTTCAACATTTGTAGAAGGTGGTTACATTTGTAGAAGTGAAAGTACAGGTTGCCTTGGCTAATGGGAATTTTAGTCAAGCGGTAGAGTGTCTGGCTTGGGATCGAAGGGCCGCTAGTTTGAACACTAGTGATGGCAGGGTGTTTTTCATTACTCCTTCCTATTAAAAATTTCTCCAAGGAAAGAAGCTAAAGGAGATTGAGATGCTTCCTTGGATATTGAACCTGGGTTGTTGTCTTCAGGGTGGAAGACTTTGTGAAGGAGGGAGTAGTATAGAAGTTGAGAGTACAGGTTGCCTAACTAGGAATTTCCCTTTAGTCAAGCGGCTAGAGACAGAAGGATCACTAGTTCAAACCCCAGCAGTGGCAGGGTGTTTTTCATTACTCCTTCTTATTACATATTGCATAAATTATCTGTATATACAATGCTTCCATGTAAAACGGGTATATTGAAGTTCCAGTGCATCATCTCAAACCTAACGATGTTCCTAACCTTTTATGTACCTATAGTTATACCGTTATACGTTGTCTAGACGTCTCCTCATACACGTACAACCTGATCACAATATGGCATTGAAGAAACTTGATCAAAAGTGAGTTATAATGTTTACGTTTTCAGTACTGCACTACACTGCATACAGCATTGTACTGCATGTTAATATATGCTGAGGCAGATGCCGGTCATTGACAAAGTGAAAGTAGGCCACGTTGCATCTTTTCCTTTGTCTACCGATAAAGAAATTTCAAACGTAACTATTGTCTTTTCATTTCTTTAAGTTTAGTTTTAGTTTTGTACTCACTCGTTGTTTGCATAGGTTAACGGGCTGATTTCAAAATCCATACTTCAGTTGCGGGCGTGGACAAAGTTACATTACATGTTGGAGAGGAAGCACATTTCTAAATATGAAACCGTAAAGGGTCGCCGAATCCGGAATCCGCAAATAATGTGAACTAAAATTATTGAAAAAATAAGCATTGTGTTTGGCGTTTAGAATTAACGTATTTTGGTGATATTTATTGAGACTAGTGTTATATAAAGTTCTCAGTGTAATTTTTGAGTATTATGTCACACAAAGTTCTAACCTGTAATTGTTTGGAGTGTGACAGGCATACAAAACATCATACCATGTGCTTAATTTAACTCACCTGTCCCAAAAAGCCAAGCAACTATATGATGTGGTGAGCCTGACAAAGTTTATAAATAGGAATGACATTGACCCATATTAAAGTTCACAGCAGTTATTTTCGAAACCTTCAAAAGAAATTACATTTCAGATAAACTAAATTCCTAGAATTATATTTGGCTCAAAGATTTTCGAGATTAAGCCCAAGAAATGTGTAGAAAGAAAGGACCTAGATCCATGTTCAAGGTCACAGGGTTCAAAACTGGTAAAACCTTAAAAGGCTTAGAGTCATGATATTTTACTTTAAGGTTCATGTGATAAAGAAAATGTGTACAGTGTCACATTCATGGTCCATATTCATGGTCACAGGGGTGAGATTTGTTAAAACCTTCAAGCAACATCATTCAGATTAAGCAAAAGACCTTGATATTTGCTTCATAATGTTCTTGTGACGATGTTGAATAAAAAGTTTGGAGAAGAAATTATTCTGGGTCAAAAGGTCAGGTTTGTTCAAACCTTCCAATGACTTCTACTTACTAATCAATACTTTGAATGTTAATGTTCATGTGTTTGTTAACAGAACTAAATACATTGTAATTTGAGTATGCCACATCTGGGATTATTCTGAAGAAGCTTTGTTTAATTTCTAGGCAACAGAAGATCAGTTCATCAGAGAATTACACTGGTGTGTTGAACAACTACATCTTGGATTAGAAACACAAAACCCAGACTCCAAACAAGGTAAGATGTTATCTTTGTACATTTATATTTTTTCTGTATACTGCCTTTCAGTGGTCTTTGCAAAAGCCATTTTAATACAGTAAATGTACACATCTTACCATGCTGCAAATCATCATTATGCACTTAATCTAATTTTCTAAAGTCATAAAGTAATGATGCTCTAAAATTGATTTTTTTTTAGTAGACTTGTTGTTAATTAAATGTCACATTCTACTGTACTGGAAATTCAAGTTTCCATAACACAATAAACAACATATATGGGCTTAGTACCAAACATGAATCTATTGACAGATAACTACAGTTAAGTGTGCAGTGGTAACACACTCTCTTTTCACCTACACATTTGGAGGTCATTTCCCCAAACAAATATATAATTCAGATAACTTGGTAAAGTTTATATATAGAAATGGTTCTCATTTGGAGATGAATTTCAAATTTGGGTGTAGAAAAATGAAAGCTATATACTTTTATAGAAGATTTTATATAACAAAGCTTGATATCACTAATTAGCTTTGAGATAAACATTTGAATCGTCACCATAACTTTTGTCCCATTGTAGCTCGGGAGGCACAGAAGATGCTCAAGATTTTGTGTAGTGACAAGGCTCCAGTCATCAAAAAGAGACAGGTCATGAGGAATGCTTTTGGAGATTACAGACAGAAGATGTTAAATGCAGAAAAGAAAAGTGCAGCAAGTATGTTGATGGTGTTAACTTCAGTAAGAGTTTCCCGTCTTTGTCTGTGATACAAAATGGCTATTATCTACAGCTTCAATGCTTAAATTTAGCCTGGTATCTGAAGTGTGTTATATACATATTGATGGGGTTTGGGCTGCATCATTATTCTCCAAAAGCAGTTAAATAATTTTGGATACTGAAGGAATTATTGGATTTTTTTTCTATCAACAAAACATAATTCAAATCAGCTTTCCTAATGATGACAAGTTCACAGAGGTTACAGTATTCTGTCCAGCAAACATTACAAAACTGAAGGAGTATCATAGGGATTGATCCTAACTTCTACTGATGCCACATAATTACAGATTAAAAGCACTGGAGGTGAAATCCTACATTATTTTTATGTAAAAAATTCATTTTAATGGAATAACCATCACTATTTAGTCTTCAGAAAACAAAATAGAATAAACTTTCTTCAGATTTCTCAAGATCAAATAAGATGATGGATGCCCATGGTATCTCACTTATAGTATCAAAACATAGGTCTGAAATAGTCACAGGTCACATGGGTCAGAATTAAAGTTTTTCTTAGAACCAAAATGCATATGGTTACAACATTCTACTTACATAGTTCTTTGTGTTTGCATTTTTTCTTTAGTATACATTTACAACTTTTGATCTTCTTTTCTTGATTCAACAGAATTGAAGAAATCGAAAATGACACCTACGATGGAAAGCAATGGTCAGAAATCTGTGTTCTACAGGAAAAGTGCCAGTAAACAGTACAACAACCAGTCAAGTGATGGCACATCTATGTTGACCAATCAACAGCTTGAAAAAATAACACCTCAACCATCATCGATGGGAGATAACTCTCAGGAAAAGGGGGATGACTCTGTCAAAAATGAAGAAGATGTGGTATCTGAAAGACTTGAAAAGTTTACTTTTGTCAAATCGGATGGAGATTTTAAGTTTAGTTTTCAATCACCCACCAAATCATTTGATGATTTAGATACAGATAATGTTGACAAAAACAGCTCAATTTGCAACACAATTGAATCATTAACAACAGAAAATTTTGTAATGCAGAAAACAGACAATGCTTTCAGATTTAATTTCACAGAACCAACATAAGTTTCACTTATACTATATCCATTTTTCCTCTGTCCATGAAAGTTGGTTTTCGTGAAAGCTTCCATCATAAAAAAATGTGTATCTGTATAGCTTAAGAATGCTGGGTGAATAAGAGAAACAGTATAACAATGCCATAACCTCACTGACTTGAAAGAGTAATAAACACAAAATCAGCTGTAAATATTTTCCTTTTATTGTTTTGGGTCTCGTGGAGTAGCCATTATATAGAATAAAACATCTTCAGTAAATGTCAAAATGCTGATAACTAATCACTTTTCAATACAGATATGATAAAAGGGCCATTAATGATAAAATGGTTGTGTTTACAGTAACATATATACTAAGACAAACATCAAATCTGTTTTGAAATTGTGTGTCTTATTTTCCATTAGGTTTTCTAGATTAACACTCACACTTGTGAGAAAATATCACAGAATAGTTCTTGGCTTAACACAAGAAAACATGCAGTGTTCTCATACAAACATCATATTCATGATTTTGGATATATTTGACACTGAAAGTTTTGTTAAAATCTTCATTTCTCAATTGTCTGCCACTGACAAACCGAGATAGCCACCTGAATCATAATCATAGAACAATGGTATTCCATTAGGAGGTGGAAAGATTCCATAAAATTATGGTGTTTAGATAAATCATTAATTGATTTTCATTCTTTGTATATATTAAGACCAGTATTTTTGATAATTTTTAAAATCTTAATGGGTGCATAAATTGTGTAGTTTCACGAGTATGTCACAATTTTTCTGGTTTATTAACTCTAAAAATCACTGAAATAACAATAAATGGATTTTCAGGAAAAAGTAATTTCATTTTATCCCAACCAATATCGTACATATTTCGGTTTTTTACGATGGCAATATCAGAGCTGTGAGGATCTGTGTACAGGATTTTCATGATGACAACATCCAACTCGCGAAGATCAGTACACTGTTAGGTTCTTCATGATGACGACATCAGAGCCGCGAGGATTCTTTCCCCTTGGTTGCCAGGAGGGTACATCACTGCCATAGTTCGGGGCCCAGTAATAATGGCGACGGATTTGGTTACTCTGTTCACATAGTTTTGTCACACCATCTACAACATAGGCCTGCACATCAGTGTTCTCGGGCTTAAGTCGTCCAGTCTCCAGCAAACTGGCAAACGCCTGAAAATGACAAAATCATCAAATTTTTAGCTTCAAACAATGATGTAGAGCTAACTAAATTTAACTCTACTTCATGCCTAATATGGATAACTAATTTGCCATAAAAAGTATGATAAACATTTAATCTTTGATAGACTTGTTTGTACTTTGCTATATTGTATAAATATAGGAATTAAGGAGTACGTGTGATCCTCTAATGAAGTTTCAACTTACAATACAGGCAGGCTCTTCCAGTGTGTTTCCCCAGATGAATATACTTGAGAGGGTAGTGTTGGTCTTCATGGCATCAGCCAGGGCACACAGGCCCTTGTTTCCAATATTGTTGCTCGCCACCACTAAACTGTAAGATTTTTATCAATACATTACACTGACAGTGCTGATCACAATTAATTCATCATTATTTTGACACCAGTACATATTTCACATGATGATATAATACATTTTTGTGTAATTGCCCACTGTTAATATAATACATTTTTGTGTAATTGCCATTGGTTTCCATAAAGTTTCAGTTTAGACAAGCTACACTGGAATCAGAACGGTACGTCTAAAATAGAAACCAACCCCCGATCTGTATGTATTGATACTATCCCTCACAAAACATTGGAACAGCAAACTGTAAGCTTCAAGGAATTAGGGAAAAAATTTATGGTTTAGTTTTAAAACGACTGTCATGCAGGATGTTATAAGAATTTCAATTTCTTATCTTATTTTTAAAGCCATTTTTGCATATCACTCATCAAGTACATATGGCCTCATTCAAAGTGACAATACTTATGTCTCTAATGTGGTGTTGTAGGTACCCGTGGCCACAGTCAAGCTGACAATACTTACGTCTCTAGTGTGGTGTTGTAGGTACCTATGGCCACAGTCAAGCTGACAATACTTACGTCTCTAGTGTGGTGTTGTAGGTACCTATGGCCAGTCAAGCTGACAATACTTATGTCTTTAGTGTGGTGTTGTAGGTACCTATGGCCACAGTCAAGCTGACAATACTTACGTCTCTAGTGTGGTGTTGTAGGTACATAAGGCCACAGTCAAGTTGACAATACTTACGTCTCTAGTGTGTTGTTGGTACATATGGCCACAGTCAAGCTGACAATACTTATGTCTCTAGTGTGGTGTTGTAGGTACCTATGGCCACAGTCAAGCTGACAATACTTATGTCTCTAGTGTGGTGTTGTAGGTACCTATGGCCTCAGTCAAGCTGACAATACTTACGTCTCTAGCGTGGTGTTGTAAGTAGCGATCGCCTCAGCCAAGTGAAGAGCACCATCGTCTTCCAATCTATTAAATCCGAGATCCAGAACTTTGATTGATGTGTTGTTCTTTAAAACTTTGGCAAGTTCTTTTGTTCCATCTCGAGTGATTCTATTGCTGTGAATTGAATGAAAAATAAATCTCATAGAAGTTAATCTGGGCACGTTAGTATTAAAATGACTTTCTTTTTTTTTCCATTTAGATCAAGTAAAATAAGTCATTTTTATAAACTTAGACAAAACATACTATGATTGAAATGGAACTTTTTTTTTCATTCACTCTCAACTTTTTCATTATGATAGACTCACCAACTGAGATTTAGGTAGGTGAATGTCATATTTTCCATCAAATTTTCAGCTAAACGTGTAACTCCAAAGTCCCTCATATCATACTTCTGTAGGTGGAGTTCTTCTAAAGATGTATTCACCTGAAGAAGTAAAAAAAAATGTTACAGACAAATGGGGAAAAAATTAACATAAAGATACTTTGTATTTAAACCCCCTTTTATAATGATTTACAGAACTTTACAGAAATAATCCTATGTACATTCCTTACAGCCATGCAATGTTTTTCAAACTGTTTTCTTACTTTGAGCATTTTGGCAAAGTGAACAGTTGTCTCCTCCTGACAGCTGAACAGGAGAGGTCTGTTTACATTGAGGGCCTTGAGTGTGCTGTTTCTGTAGAGGACTGTTGGGAGTGCAATGACTGCCTCGATTGTCTGAAACATGAATATCAGTTGAAGAGTTGGTACATGCTGTATAGAAATCAGAGAGGACATATATCACCCAAATCAGGAGCTTCTACTACTTAACATCCTGTCAGAATCACCCCAGTCGAGAGCTTCTCCTAGCCAACACTTATCCAATCAGTTTTACTGTAGTCTAGAGCCTCAACTAGTTAATGCCAAGTCTGTATCATGCTGGTCTAGAGCCTCTTCTAGTTAACACCATATCAGTAGAATATATCTGTTCTAGAGCCTCATCTAGTTAACCCCAAGTCAGTATCATGCTGGTCTAGAGCCTCTACTAGTTAACACTATATCAGTAGAATATATCTGTTCTAGAGCCTCATCTAGTTAACCCCAAGTCAGCATCATGCTGGTCTAGAGCCTCTACTTGTTAACACCAAGTCAGTACCACCCTGGTCTAGAGCCTCTACTAGTGAATGCTTACCAAGTCTGTATCACCCAGGTCTAAGGCCTCCAAAGTCTTATTCACTTGTAACATCTGAGCAAAACACATCCCTCCTCTGTTTCCAATCTTGTTTCCATTTAATCTAAGCATTTGCAAACTCTCATTTCTCTGAAAACAAGCATTTATGTTTTTAACATTGTATCCACTGAGCTAGATTCCTTCAGAAAACACTTTTAACACTTGATTATACATCAAAATTATTCTTCAATATATTTAATTTTTTTCAATCATTGACAGTAACAGTTACATATCTATTAGCTTTACTGCTGTTAAGAATATTATATAATATTTTGAGTATTGATTCTGTTTCTTAAAAGGAGAAGAAATCAACCCTTTGCATTGCAGTGCTCTAAAATAGTTTCGTGGTCTTTTTCTTTCTTTCTTTTTCTTTCTTTTTTTCTCTTTCTTTCTTTCTTTCTTCAAAATAACATCTTTGACTGATTAGTAAAATCAATTTCCTTAAATTTGTTAATAAATTTTTATATCATGCAGGAACTGGAATGAAGTATTTATGCAGTATAAGAATGGTATTAGTGCAGTATAGAATATCAAGAGGTCTACATACATGTAAGGCCTTGGCTATGGCTTCAGCTCCCTCTGCCTCAATGTCATTACACATCAAGTTCAAATACTTCAGTGTTACTGTTTCCTACAAGCAAAAAGATGTGAATAAAAAAGTGTGAAAGAATAATTGTGTATCTATCTTATAAATAGCCTGGCTGCCATTGTATACCAGGTATCCAAATACTGTATAAATTTGATAAGGCAGTAAGTTATTGTAAACCCTTTATACCTAATGTCACATAGTTATCTTGATAGTTAAAAAACTAGTATATAATATAAATTTTGCCTGATAATTGAGTTGTCATCATAAAATATTGAATAAAGTCATCATTTACCCTTCAGCTTCACAACTTAACTTTCTATTCAGAAATTTTTGTCGGTTTTTCTTTTGAGCCCTAAGCATCATTTTTCCAATCTTGATGACTCCAATTACTCAAGACATTATAGTGTGATCTTAAAATAAGGGAAGTCTCAGAGGAAAAGTAAATTTTCATCTAAGAATATTAATATCACATTTGTTTTCCTGCATAGCTTTGTCATTTATATAACTATAAATACAATAACAAGACAATTTTATGGGTATATTATATACCTTCCCTGCACCTTAGCTGGATTATTACTTAATTGTTTATCCATAGTGTGATCCATTCAATCACCATCATAATGACATCATAATGGTCATGCTAGCAATGGCAGTTACAGTCTGACAAATGTCACTTCTGTCTGGTTATTTAATTAAATAACATAGTCGTCATGTATTATGCAACACATATGGAAATGAATTTGACGATTTTTAGTTATTTTTACAAGAATTGTTCGAGATGATGAAGGTAATCTTGCAAGACTATCTTAATGAATTAACATACATTGTACCACATCACATAAGTTTAAATATATATAATTTTGGAACTCAGTTGATCAATTTTCTTATCATAAACTCTGGTAAGATCACAAACCTCAAGCAGTTTGGCAATGTGTTTGGCGCCCACATTTGTTAAGTTGTTGTAGCGGAGATCCAGACCTTGGACATATGTGTTATTACACAAGGTTTTATACAGTGCCTCAGCATCTGAATCCACAAGACGTTTGTCTGTCAGGAGCTTGTTGTTGCCTGCCAGGTACAGGTCCATTGATTCCTTAAACTCACTGTAATTTACATATCATCCTTATCATTTGTAAGCTCAATAAAGAATAGAAAATCACAGATTCACTACAAAACATTGTTATCAAACGTTTCTGGAATTGATAGCAAACAATGACATATGACCCTATACTGTGTACTGTTTACTGCATGTTAGCTATTGATACAAATACCTCATATTAATTAAAACAAAAAACATCAACTTTATACCAATAAATTGTGAAATTCATGTTACAGGTGAAAAAATGTAAAATGTATTAAATTATACTCTACCTGTAATGAAAACCATCAACTTATCTGATATTAATTATCAAACATACAATACCTTAGTTTAACAAGTCAAAGGTATAAGACCTATGATTAACACAGACTACAAATAAACTGGTGTTTTACATATTTTTTTGAGAAATTCTCAGAGCAATGATTTTACGAACAATTAAGACACAAGATCATGAGAGTGTAGTGTTCAGGGTGCATTCATTCACAGAAGAAGAGTGGTCGTGGACTACAGTACAGACAGTAAGGGAAACTTATTGTAGTGGTAGAGGGAGAAAGATGATACAGATATATACCCAGATGTACACTACACAGAATATCAGCTGATTTAGAATTTCATAATGCTAATCTTTATTTTGAAGGAGCATATTTCCACAGGTTTGCCAAAACCTTGATAAACAATGGATGTATTTTCATGGAAAACATAAAATAGATCATGTCTTCTTCACAGTAATCAAACATCAGTACCCCAAGGTATGTCATTATCATTCATTTATACATATGTAGCTGTAAATTTATTCCTCAATATATCAGCAACTATTTGTCTCCTGTATGGCTGTCGGTAACAAAGTAACTTTAGGTCTCAGGAATCATAAGGTGTAAGTCTATGGGTTGTGGAGGTTATAACAGATCTCAGTCTGAATATGTGTAACACAGCCACATGATTAAGAAGGGCTGAGATAATCAGAGGGAGGCTTTAGTGTGAATATTACCATCAGGCTTGTGTCACAGTATACATAGGAATGGTGGTGTTTAAGCAGAGGGTGTCGTGCAGCGTAAATACTGCAGAGCGTTAAAGACTTTATTAGTTACAGGTACATATAAGTTATATATAATTAGGCAGTAAATATATCATTCTGAACAGTAAAAGCAGTGCTAATATCATTCATAAGTAATGCTTTATAGTATAAATCATTGTGTGTGAAAACTTGTAACATTATATAAAGCTAATGTTATGACAATAAAATAAAACATAGCCAGTCTTTGTGTTCCGACCAGCATTGGTTGTAATAGCTGTCAGCTGTAATAAAGACATGCAGTTTTTGTGACATGCTGTTAGGGAAAAGAATGACAAACTCTAACAGAAGGTGTGTTAAGAAGGAAAACACTAAATGTGTCATGTATATTATGTATGGTACATAACAGAACCACACAATCAAAATCTAAACCTGGACCAAATTTTACCAAGAAAATATTTACCTGTAAATAAATAAAGCATGTGCTTTCCCCATCTCATTACAAAACTGATAAAAACTACAAAACGGTTTGAAAGAAAAATTCTTAAACTCCACTACAGTGATGTGGACTCCATCTTGTATATAAATCTTGAGATTTAAAACTGATTACCGGTATAAATGATATTTTTGGTCCAGGTTTGTTTTGGGTTTTTTTTATTATTATTTAATAGTGTGAAATAACAGCTATTCAGGTAATACTTACCCTTTTTTCTTTAGTCTGTTTTGTATTGAAAACGTGAAGGGTTCTTAATAGGGTGATTTTTAGGTGATTGTTAATCAACCATAAGTGAATTGATAAAATTATTCACATAACAACACACTGCTAAATAAGTTGGTGATATATATCGTTAAACTCCATGCACTTCTACATGAAAATCATACTGAAAACAAATTTGGATTGATGTATTATATAGTGAAATTAACAAGGCATTGCAAACAATAAACAATCTCATGGCTTCACTTTCACTTCAGTGCAATAAAGAAGATGGTTAATTGTCTGAAATTTGATCAAAATCCCTAAAGTAATGAAATAGCAACGGTGACCTTGACCCTAAAACCCTGAAACTCAAACTTGTCTCAGAACTTAAGTCATCATGAGTGTGTTGAGTTTGACCAAAATCCCTCAAAAAATGAAGCTGCTAGACAAGGATTTTCTGAAAATAGTATGATTGACCCTAAAACCCTGAATTTTGAACCTGTCCAAGATAAAATGGTCATTTACATACAGTGGAAGTGTGTGAAGTTTGATTGACTTTAACCCTTTCACCCTGAAATAATTCATACTCCTGGAGATATACAAAGTGTAATGATCTGTTATTAGTGTGTCAAGTTTCATCAAAATTCCTCCAGGGATGGAGCTATCAGAATGCTGCCATGTGATACTTTATATAGTATATCCCCTCCAATAATCATTGTATTGGGATTAGGCCTATAAATATCTAAAATATGGACACAACAACAAAATATAGAGATATGTATTCTGGGGAGGAGTACTTATCTGCTCTGTTACAAGTTTACAGAAAAGATGTTACATCTGCTGTGCACAATGATAAAATTAAGTGTTGTTAGTTTACCTCGATCGACTAGAAGATTTATATGCTATTTCAGCCTGAGGTAATCAATCATAATAAACAATGGCTGATTTCTCCACTTGATACTTTAGAAATTTAATTAACTAAATAATTCAACATGCTACTAATAGATATTTGATATTTTTACAAAAACAATTATTATTATTTTACAAACATAGAAAGAATGAGGTGTCTTACATCATCTGTGTAGTCTGCACTGAGAAATGTATATCTAGAAATCTATATATAGGTAATTGCCTACTAAATTTGGTTCCTCATGTTTTCCTGATTATATATGTTATATATAGATTTTTTCTAACGTACCCCGGTACATTTCCTAATTTATGTTAATGGGATATTCCAATATACAAGTTAGGATTTCATGGGATGTTTTTGAAGAAAACTGTACAAAATTATCTTCTTATGTTCTTATGGAAATTGTACACCTCAATTAAACACTTGAACACACATATGATATGTAATTTGCAAAAGTTATTTATAGATCTAGCTAGATTGCGTTACGTACAAATGTTAGCATGGCCCTGATCGTGTCTGCTTAGTCAAACAAAACGGAATATTTGTGTAAATCATATAATCAACAGAAGATAAGCCTAAAGAAGTAACAAAGTTGTAATTTAACAGCATACACACTTGTTCCTACTAATTTAGCCTATCCAAAATGACCACTGGAGGGCTATTTGATTCTAACAATAGTACTAAAAGTCATCAGAATGAGTTCCCAAAACGTACAAAACAGCCAGAAATTTAGTATCTTTGGCAGAGTATCCCTTTAAAGCTGCCATGACTTGCAAGATATGAAATGTTATACATGTAAAACTGTGCATACCAATTTACTCCTTGTTAAATCACAATTGTTATGACTTGTAGAAATATTCTGAAAAATCCATAATCATACTGAATTAGTCAGTCACTCACTTCAACCTTTATAATTCAAACACATTCCCAAGACATATATTATGGTGCATGGCTACATACATGCAAAATCTCATTCAGTATGTTACGATGAAGAAAGGCACTTACAATACAGCATCTTCTTTTTCTTTATCAAACATCAATATAACATAGGGGTTCACGTCGATGCCCATCTCAGTACAAACCGCTTCATACCTGAAGGCGGTTGAGTGGATGTCTGACATCCTGTGAGCTGTTCACTCAAAGCTGAAACATTAAAGATAAAAAGCACATTTCTACTTTTTCTGTATATTTTATAGTTTATATTTACATTGGTTGGATTTAATGTAATGGAAAACATATTCCTGTCAAGCAGGCAATAAGGAATCAAACTCAGAACTTCATTTTCTCCAGCAAGATGAACTTATAATCCTTGGCTCTATCAACAGAGCTCCATCAGCTGAACGATAGGGACTATGTATAATCAACAGTGACATTATCATTCTACCACGGCCTATAATTTATACACCAATATAAAGCAAAAGACTTTGCACAAACTTTCTGATTATGACTTTTGTGACAGAAAATACATGCCTGATACTGCGCTTGTATCAGATATTGTTTTATATGAGAAGAGTAAAATCCCATGCTGTTACTCGCCATGTTATATCTAAATGTTCAGAACAGTGTAAAGTAAATTGTAGTTATGGCATCATGCAGGACAAAAACATATCCTAATTATCACCGAAAAACACATTTATCATTTCACATGGCACTGATTCTTCGCTTTTAACGAATTATGTGCTTTGAGAATCAACCCCCTTTATGTTAAATGTACAGCTGAGACATTGCTGTTGTGATTACTCTCTTCAACTTCACCACCACCATCCATATCAACCATGAAATAAATCGTAATACATATCAACGTACAAAGAGATGTCTGATGCTGCTGCAGTAAAAGCATTTTTGTTTTAATATTACACTATTAATGCAAATCATACTGAGTTCTCACTTAACTGACTGCAATCTATACAGAGCACACACATATAAACAATCGAGGTACAGTATATTGTTGTCTTCTGCCATATATTCCGAAAGCAAACTTGTAGCTTCATAGGAATTACCATTTACATAAAATTGATCAGTATCACACTTTTAAGATAGCCTATAGGTCTTGAAGTCGATTAGATAGAATGATACAGCACCTGATATCAAATATTCAAAGGACCTATTCCCGCCAGCGTCGTGTTGCTACAACAACTTTCAGAAGAATATCATCGGGATCTCGTAGGTGCTTGAAGAGATTGATTAAAGGGAAGTAACTCAGTGGCATTTCCGAAAAAAAGAAGCAAATATTATTTGATAGCGCATATGTTATCAGGAATGTATAATACTGTATCATTCTGCCCCGATATATTCTGGGTAGTGATAGAATGCTCTAGTTAATAAAAAGCTTCCGTATATTCTGCATAATCTCCATTTCTATACATGAAGTAGACAAGTTTTCTGTATGGTAGAATATTTTATAGACCAATGCCACGTTTTTTATTGTTATATTTCATTTTTTATTTTTAGCTCAATGGTGAGTTTCAGTTTAAAAAAAATGAGTTACTATGTAAGGATACATTTACTAGTTCTACCAAAAGTTTCTGTAATTTTAGAATTTGTTACTCTGTGTGTATTTTAAACGTCAGTTCTCGCCATTCTCGGTCTTTTGATAAGCCAGGGACGTATATATTAAGTGATATATACGTCCCTGGATAAGCTAGAACTAGTCTGAGTGGTTGGAAACCTATACATGTTTGCCATGTGCCGAAATAGTGGTGATTTTTTCTAAATTTTTAAATTCTTTAAGCCGCATGGCTTGTATATAATAGGGACGTACATCTAAAAATGGAAGCGATATCTTTTAATTAAGATGAAAACTATCAGAAAATATCGATCTGATATGAAAACTACACTAAATTACTTATCATTTTGGAATTTAGCAACTTTGCAATCCCATTGCTCGATTTTTTTTATAATGCAGTTACTATCTGACTGGTATGAATTTTTTTTACAAAAGTCAATAGCATCATTTAGCAATTAGAATTTAAAACGAACGGAGCCAAATGATGAAAAGTATTGTATAATATAGCATGTCCTGACATGACTAGTCAGTGATGCAATGGGCTTAACCATTACATTTTGAAATCTTGAAGGCGACCGAGAAAAAAGTAGTCTAAAATCTGCAATAACACTTATAATTTATTCCAAAATTACAGACCGAAAATCTTTAAGGAACGACAACTCTTATAGCACTACCAGACGTGTTGCAGTTGCTTGAAGGGAGGCAACTCTTATTTAAAATAATTATGCATTAAGCCTCGTTGGCGATGAAAACAGTTGTTAGATATGGATATAATAAGTTGACATGCAGTACAGTCAAAGACGTCTCTGGTACAAAATTAATCGATTGAATAGTTGCAAGAACATTGGAAAAACTGCAAAAATCTGATGTTTGTGCTTGTTGTAATTTCTAAAAATAGATGTAAGTTGGAATACACCGTAAACGTCAGTGCATAATCTGAACCAATCAAAATACTTGTTACAGCAGCTTTTCGGGCATTAGGGCACATGGATACGAAAGTGTGTATTACCAACGGAGCATCAAAACAATCAATATGGCGCACTGTCTATTGTTAGCAGGCTAGGTTGATAGTAAGCAGAAAAGAAGCGACTTACATACTATATGCGTAATAGATCAATGTGATCGCTTGTATATATTTCTGTGGAATTACCTACGGAACGTCTGCAAGGTGCGCTTAGTGCAAGTCAGCACACGCTTACCAAGTGGTCATCGGTGTCGCACGTTTGACAGTTCCGAACTCGTTCGGTCACGCTGTTTGTCTTGGAGTTGGTGGCTTCGGTACTGACGTACTTTGGTACGATATCAGTATATAACTGTGACGGAAACATCACAAAGTGGATTTTAATACACCAATTTTGAGAAAATGGTAAAATCGAAGCACTTGATTTTCTCTATGTTGTTGCGGTGGATTTTACAGTGAAATTTTGTAGTGATTTGCTTACAGATTAGGCTAATACACTATACATGTGGTGACAGCCAACTCAGGTGTCGGTACAATATGGCTACGTTCGTATGCATTGTGTTAGACACAGCAAATTAACAGGATTTACTGTTTGGGAGAGAATGATTTAACTAGTTAGCATCTGACCGATTCTAATATTTACAAGATGAGTACCACTCTGATAGAACTGCCTTCCGCCACCCCAAAACAACATGGAGGTAAGAAGGGTGCCCCTGGATTGATCACACTATCTGAGAATCAGGTGATTCCAGTGGCGAACATTACGCTTACACCCCGAGCCCCTCAGCTCAATGGGGCAGCAAAGAGGGGGGCATCTGGCCCTATTGTAACGACTAGTGATGAAGAAAGTGATGGATGTAGCAGTCCTCGATCAAACTATTCCAATAATTTATCATATCAACAATCAAAGCATCAGTCATCATCACAACATCAACATCATCAACCACAACCATCACAATCACAACAGCGAGCATGTGAAGCATACGAACATGATCATGATTATGAAAATGTGGCTTCACCTGGTGGAAGCAGTACAGCAAGTGGACCTGTTTATGTGCGACCACCAGGTTTTAAACATCATGCACAGGAGATTAAAAAAACAAAAAAGAAAAAGACTGCCTTACTTGAACATAGATCATCAGGCTTAAAAAAACGTGCTCCAACTCCGCCGAAAGTGCGCCCAAGGAGAGGTAATTTTACTGTTTATTAGACTTAATGTTTGTTATTTCATTATTTCTGTTTTTCATTTTCCTTTGATTAGAATTCAAGTTATATTGTTTATACTGAATTATGCTGCCGTCTGTGTAGTATGGGTAGAGTTATAGTACCCTAGGTACTCCTGACAGGCAAAATATGTAAAATTGAAGAGTGGATGTTTTAGCAGACCTGAACGGACAGATCTATAAGCTTCATAGGGTAAAGTAGGAGAATACATTTTCAGGGAAATTTTGATATCTTAATGTCTCTAGATGAGATGATTCTTGACTTAGTCATCATGTCCATTTAACATATGTAAACCTACAACTGATAAGTTGCAGCCATCAAAATTAGTGTTTTCACCAAATCAAACAAGTTTGTGCTTATTCAATTTCGTATTTCAATGAAGTTGTCGGTAGCTATCAATTTTCATTGATTGAATGTTCTTATGAACACTCTATAAACTCATGGTGGGTAAACATTATGGAGTGGTTGACAAATCAATTTTTTTCCTTCGAGACGTGGCTCCAAGATGTTTTAAGAAATAAATGTCAGGTATGTGTTCTTATGAAAGGTGCCCACCAGACATACATGCATAAGATAATCAAACGTCTGGTGTTGAGGCCACAGGAAACTGATCCATCCTGATGACATCATCAGGACAATCTGTCGGCTTAGATGATTTAGCTTAATATGCTCTATAAGTCACTGTGACTTATATTTCCACTGACGCTTGTTAGACACCTTGCAGTAATATGGCACATTATGTTAGAGGCTGGATGAAACAGATGAAAGCTAGCCAATAGCCCATATATAACCTCTTATACCTGATGTTATAAACATAAAAGTGCACACCATTTAAATTGGTGCTTACCAGCTTCTATTTTTGATGCACGGCTTTAAATGGAAATATGGGAGATGTCTGTTGTCAGTGACCTTGTGAGGTTCCCTGCCACCAAACTATGCTATTTCAGTGTGATGGCACTATAAAATCACCCTTGAGTTCAGTCTTATAATCCTTGTTTAGATAAATTCTATATAAGTATATGTGTGTACAGCCTATGTGGTTAGGATTTGTAGCATAGAGTCATTTGTATACAACAAATATTTGTATACCCAAGGAATATATACCGGTAATTAGATTGGAATTTGTCACATAGGAAACACATTACTTATAACAGATCTGATTTTGTGCATGCCTTTTTTTTCACATTGGAAGGTCAATATGTTAAAAATCGGTAATATCCATATTGCTTACAGTTACCAGTTAGACAATGACTTGTTTGAAATTATCGGTAGATTTGATCTATAATTGGTTTAATAATTCAAGTTGTTGCCAGCCCCTCTTCCCTCGGGTAACACTGTTGATGAGTGTAATATTCCTACGTATTATTAAAAGTATTGATTACATGATGACACACTGCCACGTCATGTATCAGTTATATGTTGAAAACTTCATTTTATTTGTTCAATTTGCAAAACATGTTTCATTTTTAGTACAACTGTATATATATGATATGTTAATTATAATTTTGTTAAGCCTTACACAGGTAAATAACAGTTGCTGTAGCTTGTTCAGTCAGGGTGACATCCATTCAGAGTTGGACGGTCCTGGGTTTTAATGGTAGATTCATTTGATTGACTGTTGAATTTTATATCCATATTAGACTTATTACAAATATATATCCACAGAGAGAAATTTTATGTTTGGATTTTTCCTAGTATTAGAAATGAGTTAGAAGAAAGAGTGGTGTTTGAACTCTACCAAAAGCTGGTGGGAAAGTGATTCAAGGGTTACAGTGACCTATTTTTAAAGGAATTATGAGTTCTAATACCAGTTTAGCATAGACACTGATAGTTAATGTAGACATGGAGTTTGTAACTGTTTTTTTTTACTTGGTTTAATATCAACAGCAGTATGTAAATTTAGTTGCGTTTAAATGTCAACTTACTTCATAAATCTCATTGTCAGTGACTTACATTGATGGATGGTGTTGTTTCCAAAATATGTTACAAATCATGTATCAGAGGTTATTATATCACTGCTTAGGCTTAGTACACAGTAAATAATGGAGTATTGATTTGTGGGTGATAGTGGGCTTATCTGACTGGTAAATTAACCAATAGCAAATTCCAGGGTTGACCAAGTTACATCACACCACATGTTTGTTTTCTCTTCTTATCTGATAACTGCCATGCATAGTTTCTTGAAATTAGACTTGTTATTCAGGAAGTTCTTGTGTTACAATATTCACAAAATACCTCAATTGTATTCCACTTTTGATTTTTCACAATATCAACAGTTTTTTTTCCTTTTTAATAATTATTTGAACAAAAAGTATTGATTTATTTTGAAAATTTCATTTGACATATGATGGCTGTATAACTGAATTTGGATTTTCCAATCATCACAAACATGTTTGCTTTTGATGTGAAAGTATCAGAACATTTTTACCACTCAGGCTGTGTAGAGCACAGACTTTCAGTATAGTAATATTGACTGCATAAAACTGAAGTCTTTTTATGCTCCCCAAAGGGAGAGCTTATAGTCATCGTTTTGCCTGTCCATCCATCATAATTTTGTCTGGAACATAACACAAACACTATTAGAAGTATCAACATAAAACTTCATAGGTAGATAGATCTCAAGAAGGAGAAGTGGCAGTGCACAAGAACCATCACTCTCTTATGCATATTTCAAGAATTATTGCCCTTTGTTATTTTTCATGTTTTAATTTTGCCAGGAGCATACACTAAAACTATAAGAGGTATCAATATGAAACTTCACAGGTAGATAAATTTCAAAAGAACACAAGAACCATAATTCTCTTTTGTCTAATTTAGGAGTTATTGCCCTTTGTTATTTTCATACTTAAAACTTTGTCCTAATCGGGGAGCATATCATATCCTGTCTCTGAGGGCCCTTGTTTTTGATAGTAGTTTATTTGTTTTTGTTGCCACAACATCATCAGACAGTCAAAAAAATCTTTCTTACCTTACAGTATTACATTTCACAGAAGATGAAATTTCCATTAAATGGTCAGGCAATATGTGGCAATGTAATGAAAAAATCTGACTTTGAATGGTTTGATCACTTATATATTTGTTTGATAAAAGAAATAAGGTAATATTCTTGTTGGCATAGCGGTAATGATTTGTCTACTGAAAATTTCTAAATTGTATAACATAAATGGACTTCATGACATTTAAGCATACCATTGTAAATTCTAGGATGTATATCATTGGTTCTTGAGTGGTTACACCTAGTGTTGCACAGTAGCTTCATATGACCAGGAAGAAAAATTAGGTGTGAAAACCACTTGCTAAGTTATGCTGATCCTCTACTATATTATTTTGTAACTAATAGTGAGGACCATTGAGGAGACAATGTTGTGACATGTATACTGGTGGTCACTAACAATAAGACCATGTACTAATGGACACCCCCTTATGGAGCCTTGCCTAATTCATTGTTAAGGAGTGTTATAAGGACTTACCATAATACATCACTTAAAATTACACCTGTGACAGTATAATTATTTCAGGGGTCTCTTCGTTTTTTGTTCAACAATGATATAACTTCCCTCTTCAGACCAATTTGCCATAATTTATTACTTATCTTTTTCCTTCAAACATGCTTCTTAATCTATTATCAGAATTTTAAATATGCAAAAGTGTCCCACACAGATCCAAGCTGGTGTTTCTCACTTATTCTGATAGTTTTGTTTTTAACCAGGACAAAAATCCCGCAGTATGAAGTGATATTCATGTCTCTCAGCCATTTTAATTTATCACCAGCTGGTTCCTGTTGTTGAGAAATGATGCGGTTCATGACATCACAGAATGAGGAAAAGAGTAAACCTCACGGTTTTTTTTTTTTGTTTATTTAGACAAACCCATGAGATATTTCCTCTGTGGTTTTCTGTATAAACTGATACAATATCATCTAAGCCGTATTAATTTTACCTGACATTTCCTGTAAAAACTGGACTATTTACACACCTGATGTTAGCAGTCCTTGGTTCTACCTGGTGTTTGGGTGTCAGGGTACAGTATAGACACAATCAATAAACGTAGATTCTGGTATGTTGCTCATTAAAGTTTCACCTGCTCCAGGCTTCAGTAATCATTGAGAGACCTTGGATGTCGTCTCCATTGCTGATGTACCATATCTTTGTTCCTGGAAACATATTGCTTATTCACATGATTGCACATTGTAAAATTTTTATTATCATTTCAAATAAAACTAAGCAAAAAACCCTACGTCTGATGTTGTGTCAGATGAACAAACGAGAATATATTGCTACGATGTTTTTCGTTCCGCAGAGTCTTTGTAATAATTTTTGTGGTGTATTGTCTAATCTGAATCCTTTGTAGACGATAAACTTCCCTTGATTAAAGATTTTTGTGATTAAGAAAAGAATTCTGGAAACAGGCTATATACTTTAAGCAATTACGTAGAATACATAGAAATACAAAATTGTGCCTTTGAGATAAATGTCTTGAGATATTGGAGTCATCAGTTTTTATTTGTTTCTCTGTATGAGGTATTTCTAGCGTGTTGTTTTTTTTAATCCTGTGATCAACTCAATGTGAATGTAGCTTTAGTAGTGGTGTTATAGATATTTTCAATCATGACACAGTGTAGAAGACACAACACACCTGCTTTGGGAATATTTCTGGCCATGACTTCAAATAGATGCATGTATATTAGCATTCATGACCAGTTAAGCAGAAAGATCAAAGATAGCCTTTGTATTTAGAAAAATAGGTCACAACAGGTCAGTACTAAGTTAGGTAGTAGGACTGAATGGCACTGAACTATGGACATATTTGTGGTTTAAATTACTACTATTTTAAAGCTTGTAACAGTGACATACAATCATGAAAATAACCACATACAGGTAAATCTATCTAATTACATATAGGTTATCAAAACACACCTACGGGTAGTCCTACCTAAATACCTACAGGTTATCAAAACACACAAATA